CTTGAACCATTGTCAGAAAGTTCACTTTATTGTCTGACTTCATAAAACAATTAGTGGATAAAGGTGTTTCTCTCATTCTTATTTCACCATCACCTACCATAAAAGAAGGATCTGTGTAAACTTTGATCCCATACTTGGCATCCTTTTATATGACAAACAGCCAGTTTCCTTTTTACCCTTATTGAAATAGTTTACCTTTTTTTTTTTTCCTGTTTGTTGATCTTAAATGCTCAGTTTCTTCTCCCTTCCATCCTTCGCTCTCCTCTTCCTCCCAAGTCTTCTATTTTTCATCCATCCACAGACTTTTCAGATATGAAACAAACTAGACCTAAGTCACACTGAGAGAAATACTTTCATCCACTGTTGAATTGCCTTGGCTATAACACAAATTTTGTTTTCTGTTCACTAGAATGTTATGGAGCAGTTCAATCCAGGACTGAGGAATTTAATAAATCTGGGGAAGAATTATGAAAAAGCTGTTAATGGTAAGTCTTCTAGGTGATAACTTTAGAAAGAATGTTTAATTTTCATTTAAATATACATATTAGATATGAGGGTTGTGTATAAGCTTACTTTCCAAGTTGACCTTTGGATATGTTTAATTAGGGGAAAAAGAAAAAAAACAAACAAAAAAGTGCAAATACCCAAACATATGTACCTTCTCCCCCTGCCCCTTTTTTTTTAACTGTCCTGCAGAAGTTGCATCCCAAACACTTAGGCACAGAACTACTGCAAAATAAACTGAACATAAAGTGTAAATAACCTACATTAGAATAATAATATAAATAGGAAAAAAAAAAAAGTTGTGTAAATTAGATGTTCTCTTTTTTTTTTTTTCCCCCTGGAAATGTCTTTCAAAGGTATTTCACATTCTTAGATTTGTTCCCACTGACCTATACACATCACTATATAAGTAACCCTGTGAACAGAACAACTGGAATGAATAAGAGCTGCAGGAGTGGCTTCATTTTTTCTTTTTCTTATCCATACTAAACCTGATGGTATTTTTTTAATGGAGTAAAAATTGGAATGAATAAATTTGAATCTAAGGACCAAATCTCTTAAACTTTTTGTAATGTGGTTGTTTACTTCTGTTATTGACTTGACAGAAACTATCCATCTTAAGAATGCGTTTTCAAGACTGGGCTCTAGATTCCCCAAGCTTATATTGTAGGACCTGTTAGAGCTTGCTCCATTCCACCTATGCAGACCTGTTGAGCTGCTTGATACCATATTAAAGCAATGTAAAAATCTCTCATTTTGCCTCATTCAAGTCTGTGGCATATCTTTTCCCCTACATGTAATCTAGTACTCTGAGCAATGTGATACTGCAGAAGTAGTGCATAGGCAAATAGACTTTGAAATCTCTCTTCATGCAAATTTTAATGAGGCTTGAGAAAAAGATAAAGCCAAAGCCTGCTGGAGATGAAAATGGGGAAATATTGAGTTATCTGCAGTAATACCTAACCTGATGGATTAACATTATGGTTGCCTAATACCTAACCTTAGGGATTATAGGCAGTACCAGAAGTAATAACAAGTATTTTCATGTTTGGCTGAAAGATTTGTATACTGATTTCTGAGGCTTCTGCTTTTTACATACTTTACTGTTGATACATTGTGCCGCTTCTCTTTTAATTAAATTTGTCATCAGTAATTCACAGTATAACTGTGCACAGCAACACTGGAGAGGCTGATGGGTATTGTGTTCTAGCAAGTTTGCCTTTTAAGACTGGCTGATAAAGCATATCTAGCATGAATGCTTAATTTCAAATGAATAAATGTTTATGATGTTGCAACAACTGTTGAGAAACTACATTAAAGTAATCTTTGGGCTCTCATAAATTGTTAATCTTTTCTCTGGAAGTTCTGAGTGGTATAAATAGATCTGTAACAAGAAGTAAATATTCTGTTGCTGAACAGATACTTCACAGCTTTCCAAACAAGTCAGAGTAGGCTGACAAAGAACAAAAATTACAAGACCTTCTGATAGGTTTATAATGTATTTTTAGACATTTTGAGGATAAAAGGTCAAAACTCCTTTTCTGCAGAAGTATTTTACTAGCCATAGTACTGGAGAAGAGACTATACAAGTGGAGTTCTTGATTTAGCTTGATTAGCACAGGAGAAAGCACACATTTTCTTCCTCTTTTAGTGCCTGTATTAGGATAAAAGATTGACTTGGGGCTATCTTCAGAAAACATTAGATAGGAAGAGTTGGAATGGCATAAAATCTTCATGTATGGGTGGCATGCTGCTCCATCAGTAGCGCCGGTATAGTTCTTCTGTTCAGAAAGTCTGAATATAGAGCATGTATGAGGTGCAGCTTGGACAGAAATTACTCTTGTCTAATGCAGCAGGGTCTCAGAAAGAATCTTTGGTCCATTTGGAAGAGTTTCAGGCTTCTCAATGAACATACTGATAGGTAACCAAAGATGTCACCTTTGCTAGTGAAAACTATAAAATACAGACCTAAAATACTATAATTGGCAATTGCCATCTCCCCCCAGAAAGAAGTATTCTGAAGTCAACAGTGAGAGTCTGCTTGGCTTCCACTTTAGGTTAAAAAATGTACTACTACAAAAAAAAATTATGAAGGCTTACTTCAGTAAGTATTTTTCACTGCCTTTTACAACAAAACCTTTCCAGTTTGTCCTTGTTATTTCTTTTCGTGGTGTGTAGTTCAGACCTAGGTACTGTGAAGATGCAAGGCAACCATTGCATGGTGTAGATGTACTACATATGTAATCTGTTTCTCACTACTGGCTTCCGTGCAGTTTCAGTCTTGATGTTTCCGTGTTCATTCTAGCAAAACTGGCTTTGCTGTTTAAATCAGCTATAACCAGGAAATGATTAACTGAGAATAACTGAAACCTCAGTGATATATATATTGGTTCCTGTAGAACTGGAATTGAACTATAAACAATAGAACTGTTGGGGGGGGGGAACGAGCATCCAAGTGTTAACTAGGGTATGTCTTTTTGGTCAGGAATGTTAAACCTTCAGGTTTCTCCTTAAAATGTATATGCCCCTGTTGCCTGAGGTTTTTATTGCTTAAAGTACTTGGAATACAGATTTCTCTGCCATCCTGAGTTCAGTAATAAAGATAAAAGTAGGCAATTTCCTGGAGTGTCAAAATAACTCAGTGCAGAAATTGTATATATCAATGCTAATCTTCCATGTCTGTCCAAGAAACCAGGTATCTTCCAACATTTAAGGTCACTAAGTTGCTGAACAATGTAATTTATAATAATCTCGGGAACATTGATGGTATGACGAAAATTGAGAAAAGAATGCCAAATGGGTTATCTCCATAACCTGAACATCATCTTTCAGAGACTTAATTTTTTAAGTTTTAGCATTTAAGGGCTAAAATTTCCTTAAAGTGGAAAAGTTGGTGTTTATATGTAGAATCCTCAGATTTCAATGTGTTGTTTTGACAAGAAATCATTTTGCCATTGCAGTATATGATGACTCAACAGTGTTATCCATAATGGTAATTTTCAGGAGCGGCTGTATCCGATGTATTGAACCTTTTGCATTTCATTTTTCTTTTAAATATATCACACCTGGTGAACTGTATTTCATCATAGCTTTTTTGAAGTGAGTTACTCTTTCAGCTAACTTAAACAGTAAACGATGATTTGCTTTGAATGGCTCCATGTCTCCTTGTTCCAACTGTAGATCCGTTGTCTCATGGCCAGAAGCCTTTTCTCAGATCAGTGGCCTGGCTGGCCAATACAGGGCATAGACCATGGCATTTCTAGTAAATTTGGGATTGCATTTTGCTTTTTTCCAACAGCTTTATCTATACCAAGGAATTTTGTTATGTCCTGACCAATGGCTTATGGCTAAACCTACCCACTGAATGCTGATTGCTCCTGGATATGCGTGGAAGTTGGAACTAAATCACAGGCTGAGACTTCATTAATATATTCTGGTGTTCTGTCTTTGTCACGTGGTTTCACAAATTGGCAGGTAGCGCAGGGCCTTGAGTAACTTTCTCTGATAGCAGGATTTCCTTATTGCCGTATACCCCTCTCTTACGATGTGCCCTTTATTACAAAATTTCATAGGATTGCAGATTAATGAAAATGGAAAATACATTGATTTTTTTTTAACACCTTTTATACCTTTTTTTTTTTTTTCTCCACTCCCCTCCACCCAAGCTATGGTAGTGGCTGGAAGAGCATATTATGATAGCCTTGCAAAGATTGGGGATATATCAGCTGATTCTCCAGTTTCTAAAGAATTAGGTAAGTGGAATATCTTGTTTTGTTACTTCAAAATATAGACTTTGTTTTTGTTTTCCTGCTGGCAGTTCACAGAACTAATGTGAAATAGAGAAGGATTGGAAAAGTAGAGAAGGATCAGAAAGTGTTTTACTCTTAAATAACGCATAGATGGAAGGGATTAGATTCCTTTTGAGACCTTATTTCTCAAGACACTTAATGTTTTGACAAAAGCACTTTTTTCTTTTACTTTTGTGAATATATTTCTGCTTATGCATTTGAAAGCATGTATTTTTTAAATTCACATAATTCTATAATAAATAAATGTGGAAAAATGTGTAGCTTGATTTTTTTTTTTTTTTTTTAGTACAGAGATGAATGTTTGAAATATTTCTGCAACAGAATATTGGTATGAGGAGTCCTAGTGTATGACAGCAGTTCTAAACTAAAACAATTTTCTGGATGAGTTCTGCTGTGAAGAGTTTAGTTCTACTTTGTTATTTTTGATCAAGTGTATCTCTAAAAGTTTTCAGATGCATTATATTTATTTTCTAGTTGAGCTTTTGAAAGAGAAACTGTAGAGTCAAAGATGTAGTATGTCTACACTAATGTACAATTAATCCAAGTTCTGTACTTTCCTGAAAATAATTTCTGAGTTTTTGAAAGATTGGCAGCAGCACTTAGTTTTGTACTCCTTTGACTAGCATTGAAATAATACTGCTCAATCCACAAAAGTGAAGATGTCATCGAAGTATTTGTAATATTTCTGACAAAAGATTCTAACATCACTACAAAACAAAGAAACAGGAACTATGCTGTAAAGAGGAAACATTTGTTTAAAGCCTACATTTGCTTTTTCACAAAAATATCTTGATAAAGTGTCTTGTCTCTGAACTTTTGATTACAGGCAATGTAGGACTCTTTCAGTGATGCAATATACATCCATCCGCTCCTGTAACTCACAATAGTATGTTAATTCAGCTGATTAAAAAGGATGGGTTTAGTAAATGTTTTTTTAATTATTCTGCTGAAGCAGAATTGAGTGGAAAGACTTTCCTTGACGGTGGCCACTGGCTTCTGTGTGCCTGCATACATTTTTATGATTTGTTCTGAAATCACTTTTGTGTGAGTGTTAACATTCTCTGTTGAAAGTTGGGAGCGGCAGAACAGCAAACAGTACAAAGCAAACAGTCTTAATGTAGTTGCTTTCTGTATTTGCTTTGCAGGTTGTTTACAGGAAGGAGAGTTGCTGGTTTCAAACTATAGAACAAAAGTATGAGAAAGTTAAAAGTAACAACCATGCAGAGTCTTACAAAAATATCAACATATTCATAATTACAATTTTTGCCATCAAGCAGTTGGTCATATGCATGGAAATAATCTATTTATTGAATTTTGTATAGCTGTGGGATATTGTCTGCTTGTTTGAAAATAGTATTATTGGATAGTCTCGAGCTGAATTATGAAAATAACTGGGTTTCCCTATTATTGGGGCCAATACTTGATTGAAATATATTGATTGAAAATATATTTTTGTTTAATTGTGAATTCTACCCTGCAATTATAAACCTTTTTCTAGATATACTGTATTGAGAAAACATGGCCTTCTTCAGGGTCAGGCCTCTACCGCTGCTTTCTATTAATCTTCTACTTAAACTGTTACTGCAGAAAAATCTTTTCTTCTTGAGGAAAACAGCAGCTCTGGATTTCTTTCAGCATACTCTGTGATAGAATACTTACTTTAGAGATAAGGAAAGTCAACGAACATTGGAAAAGGCAGGATCATGTGGTTAGGAGTCTGTGAGAGATTATTTGTGTTTTCTTGAAAAAGTCTTAATAGTTCTGAAGCTGGACTACAATACTGACGTGTTTAGTAAAGAAATATGATACACCCCAGATGTCTCTAAAAGTATCTTTGCTTAAAAAGAAAAAAATAATTTACTGCACCTTTTAGTATTTTAAAAATATTAAGATGAATGCTGAGCAGTATTGGATGGGTAAAGACTAGATCAAACTTTGTTGTGATTTGCTCATTTGTGGACCCTATAAACCCTAGTGGAGTTACTGTAGGCCCAGCCCACTGCAGAACTGTCTCTTCTGTGAGATCCTTTAGACTTGCCAAAAGACATGTTATTGGCCACTAACAACTCTATCACATATAATACTCCTGTTATCTTTGCCAAAAAAGAGGTCAGTAGTCATCAGTTAAGTTTTGTGATATGCCTGTGAACTACTTTTCAGGACTGTGTTCTCTTGAGCATCGAGTGAGCTGACACAGTAGCTTGTTTTATAAGAGCAACAGTCTAAAGGTGACTGGCAAAGAAACAGAGGGGAGCAATTTCCATAATTTTATATGTGTGTGTTATCTGTATCCAAATCTGATGTTCAGAATATTTCTGTAACGCTTTACTTCTCCCTTGTTTAAAATTATAAGGCCTCTTCCTGTATTAACTGAAATCAATAGCAACATTCCCACAGATGTCAGTAGGAGATCATTCTATTTTTAATATTTAAGACATTATCCTGGCTCTTAACAATGAATTAGATAAACTGACAATGACCAAGTTCTAAAGCATTTTGGAATACTTTAATATTTGAGCACAAATTGAGGTACTGTGGTCTGGATTTCCAGTGTTTAGGTCTTTGGACAACCAGGAAACATAAGTGTTTTTATCTGAGTAATAAAAATTTGAAACATCCAAAGTAAATATTTAAACTAATGCTTGAAACTAATCTGTAAAAAACAAACAAGCCCCTCCCTCACCATGGCTTGCGAGTTTAACCACAATCGGGCCAACTGGCTTATGGATGGCAAGACTGCATAGTAGTCAGAAATCCACGGTGCTGATTTTTTTACCTCATTGTATCGTCTACAGCAGAAATGAAGGGAAAGCATAATATCTGCCAATTAATTATATTTGACTCATCTTAAATGTGCATGCCTCTTCCATTAGCATTCCATTCCATGTTTCACCCATCAGCCACTAGGTACTTTTTGGCTCTAAAAGAAGGTGTTAGAACAAGATTTCCCCCCTCTTCCCCTTTCTCTGATAGTTAGCAAATCAAGCTGTAATTTTTGCAGGTACAGTTCATATTAAAATTAGTTTTCTGAGTAATGAACAGAACAGGGGAATGAGATGGGAACCAAGGTTTCGGGTCTTTCCTGTAGCAACTTCACCTTTAGCAGAGGCAGTTGAAAAATAATGTATTATTCTAAATTCAGTCATGTTGCATTAAACTTCTTACACTTAATTACAAAAGGACTACCAGGCTCAGATTGCTAAAACACGATATTCTTTAGAATTTATGGAGAATCTTTACTGGAATATTGCACTGAGTCATTTTACAGTTCAAACCCAAACCTGCTGGGTGACCCGCAGCATATTTACTGCCAAGTGTGATGTAAAGATTTGTATCAAAAGCACAGTCAATCTTTCCCTCTCATAAGGAAATGCAGAACATGGTCTTCCTGTAATGAGGCAGCAAAATGGATACCAACCACATAGGCGGGGTAGAAACTGAAATGGAAAAGAAATAGGAAAGAATATTTTTGAAGTAGAGGGTAAAATGCATAGAGGGCAGAGAAGAAATGGGGCAAAAAATCAAATAAAAGTGCCAGAAAGTGCTTTGTTCTGTCAAATGAGATTGGAACAGAAGAGGGGAACAAGACAATGAAATGGAAATCTGGATATGTCAGCTGATTAAGAGCTTTTGTACTGAGTATCTGTATCTTTCAAGTCTGGCTGAAGCTCTCTGAATTATTTTAATACAGAATAACTTAATATGAGTAAGTTGAGGAAGTAGAAGAATATACTGCATTCATAATACAGTCCTTATTCATAAGGGATAAGTTGACTTAGGCCAGCATTCTTTCTAATTTTTTATTTCCCTAAATTTCTAAGCTTGTAGTCCCTCAGACTTGGCTATGAACGTTTAGGAACATAACCTGATTTTATGTAGTTCAAGTTATTCTGCAATATGGAATTTGCATATCTTTCTTTCCTAGGCACCTTCTGGAAATCCCACTAGGAAGAAAAGATAAGAAACAAGAAACTGCATGTTTAAAAATGTTAAGATTTCATACTATTCAAATTCCAGCACACCACATCAGCACAATGAAATTTTGTATGTCAATAATCCACTAAAAAAAAAAATTCAGGTAGATACTATACCACTGGTAGAGTGTTAAAATAGTAAGTTTCATGATGTGTTGCTAATCTTTTCTGTCTTGCCCAAAATACGGGTTTATGAGGCTTTGTCTTATCGATTTTTAGTGCTTATAACTTTAATAAACTCACTGTTCTAGTAACATAGGCTGTCTTTGTAGCCTTCACTTGCTCACAGAAGTGGGAAGTTATTTCCTGCTCACTCATTGAATACTACTTCTCATATCTTCCCAACTATCCTCTTTAGCACTTGCCAGTTATTGTAGCTACAACTCATTTATTATATTGTGGGTGTAAAGTCCCGATTTATTTGTTGTGTGGCAACGGTATCTATAGCAGTGACCCACAGTTATATTATGGGTCTGTACCTAGAGCTTATTGCTCAAGAACTAGTAAGTGTAAACTACTCCTTGCTTGTCAAACTATAAAAAGCCAAATTGTAAGAAAAATGTTACATTGCATGGTCTTGACCAATGGAACTAAATTGCGGAATTTCAGCATGTTAAAAGGAAAATGAGAGGAGACAAAAATCTCTTCCCTAATCTAACCAAGACTGATAATTTATTTAAAGGATTATTCTGTGTTACAGGGGTGGGTTTTCTTTCTTTCCCCACAGTCTCATTCTGTTCAAACTTATCTGGAAACAGGTATGCAAAAGCTTATGCTCATCTACAGTCTGAAATGCAAGAATTTGGAAAAATTTGTCGTCTTTTCAGGAGAAATTTTCTGATTAAAAACCTCTACAGGTAATCTAGAGAAGCAAGTTTGAACTAAAAGATTGCTCTGTGTTGTGGTAGTCACAAGATAGGGAGAAGTGGGGAGAAAAAAACCCAAAAACTTCTAATGGTGTGCAAAGTA